CCATCCGTATCAATAAATGGTACCATCAGAAACTTAGGATTCATCAAGTTCTGTCGCTTCTGCCTTGTACATGCCCTGATTTTGCATCCTCTCCTTTACATCCCTGCCTCTGTTCGTAGTTCTTTCTGGACTTTTACAGTGGATTTCCATCTCATCTCTCAACCTGAGGTCTCGCTAACCCTCCATACTTGAAAAGCATCTTCCAGAAGTGGAATCTGTTCAAGCAATTCCTCTGTGGACATCCTTCCATGGGACCCCACAGCCCTTGGAGCAAAATTTAAACTTCAGCAGGCTACAAAAATGGTCTCTGTCATCTGATCGCCACCTGTGATCTCAATATCAATTCTTAACCACCTCCTCACACTCACTCCCAAAGCCAGCCGTTTAAAGTCACGTTGCAAATCCCTAATCCCACGTAATTCTGTTTTTTTTTCCCCCTGCTTGGAATATTTATCCACAGACCTCTAACCCCCATCTCCACCTAGTAACTTCTACATAATATCTCAGGACTCTGTATTCCCAATGCGCCCTGTGTATTTCTGATTTCAAAGGACTTAATATCCCTACACTGTGATTCTTTCTACATTGGTTGATCCAAATAGTAACCTAAAGAGTTCCTATGCTCTGTTTTTCCACATAGATGGTACCATGATTCGTGAATAATAATAAATGACTGCTCTGAAAATGAAGAGTTCACCCAGTATCTGTGGCATTCACCAGGAGTCAAACATCCCACCAATCACTGTGTACAGAGCAAAACCACACAGAGAGAGAGAGAGAGAGACTATAACCTTGTCTGCATGTATTTTGTACACATGAATTAGGAAGACAGAATATGGAACATATCAGGCAATGTGAAATATCAAACCACAAATGAATGGTGAAGCCAACAAGCGACAAAAGAGATACAGATCACTAAGTACTCAACCGGCTGCTCAGAAAAAGTTTTAGAGTAAATAGTTATGTTAAACATAAAAACAATGTAAGTGGGGGGGGTGTAGCTCAGTGGTAGAGCGCATGCTTAGCATGCACGAGGTCCTGGGTTCAATCCCAGCACCTCCATTAAAATAGATAGACAGATAGACCTGACTACCTCCTCTCCCCCACAAAACAATGTTTAAAAATAGAAAAAGAATCTCAGTGTGAAACAAAATTCATATTAAAAAATAAGTATACTAGGGCCCTAGTAGTTAACTCTAACTAAAGTAGAGTTAACAACAGCAAACACCTAGGTATTAAGTTTCCCAAGGTCAGGAGACAAATCAGTCTTGCTCACTGCTCTGTCCCTAAGGCCTAACACATGGCTGGATCATAGTAGCTGCTAAACAATATTTGTGTCGAATTGAATTTTCAACTGTGCAGCTGGTGATGCAAGAAAACATCTGGTTAAAAAAAAAGGCAGCCCTTTTCTCCGTTCGCCATTCCATAAGAAGGTAATTTGTGTATGTGTTTACTAGAACTCTTTCCTCCAAAGTGAAATATTGCTTCACTCGTTGGTTGGCAAATGTGTTGTTTCAAGAAGAAACAACTTTAAATGAAGAGAAATCTTTAAACGAAGAGAAAGTTATTTCAGTCCATAATCCTCAAGAGCCAATTTTGGATCTTAAAATGCACTTTTCATCAAAGAATCTTAACAAAAAGATTCCTGCCAATTTAACCAAGACATCTAAAAATGCTTCGCTCTACAGCCAAGCTTTCTGCTCAGGAACATTCTAATTGAGATCATGTTCTTCCAAAGATCTTCCATGAGGCCAGCAGTCACCTGAGTCACATGGCTCAGTTAGAGACCATCACCACCTTCCTAAGATCATGTAACTGCATGCCATTGAGGAATTCCGCATTTTTCTTACACTTATGTTGAATTTCCAAGTTTTCCTGGAATTTCTTTGGACCCAATAGAGCTATCATCACAAACCAAACCAGAGACATGTGTAACTTTGAGATGGAAGTGAATTTGGCATGTCCCTCCCATTTCAAACATAAGGAAACTGAGGTCATGTAATGGAAGCTACTGACCCCAGAATGCTCAGGGCAGCGGCTTAGAATGGACACTGGGTCTCCTTAGTGACAGCCAGTCCTTTACATACGCTGCATTGATGGAACACCAATACTTCCACCTGCATCACTTTATTAATTCTGGTAGCCACCTGAGATACACGAAATGGGATTACGACTCCCTCTTAACAGGCAAGGACATCAAGCCCCCTCAGACTGTGAATTCCCTCAGGTTGACTGAGCAGCAGAAGCAGAACTAGGATTCAATTCTATTATTGTCATTTACCAGGAGCACAGCATTGACATGGGCCTTTCTTCCTTTCGGTACCAATGACTCAATGACAACCTAAATGGCCTAATGCCTACCGTTCATCAAAGGAAGACTGGCTACTATAAAAGCAAGCAAGCTACAACTGCCAGAGGCTGCAGGCCACAAAGGATACGAAGGCAGAAGCATGTGTGTTAATCAATTTTGAGGTTTCACTTAAATAATCAATCAACGATTGTTTCACAACTGAATCTAATAGAAAGACCCCAACCAATTTAGACCTGTCGACAGTGGGCAAAATGCCACAGACATCTTCTTTCATTAGCACACCAGTGATGGAACTTCCCATCTGTTGCTTCACACCAAATAAATACACTTTAAAAATGGCGTATATCACAAAATTTTTCTTTGAAGGATTAATTTAAAAGCACTATGGTTGTTAATCATAAAAGTGCTAAATTTTTCAACAAGTAAAGCTGTGTCTGGACAAATCCACGTGTGTTAGCAGCAGGCTAAGAAGGGGACCTAGCATGGAATTTTAACACTTGGTTCTAATCATTAATGCTGCAGTCCTGGCCTATTTACAACCTGACATTTGTTTTTTGCACTTTCAACATCCCATGATTTTTCTGCAACAGTAAATAGCCTTAAGAGATAACACCTTGCCTTAGCTGGGTCTATATTTTGACTAGCAAGTCTTGGCATTGTGTCCAGCTCTGATACCTCTCCAAAATGCTGCATGCCAGTGAAAAATGAACAAAACTTAAGAAGAAGAAGAAAAAAAAGCACTGCTACTCTAAGCCATTTTGGGATATAATAGGTCTAAGTTCTAAGCTAACCTACACATCTAAGTTCTATTGCAGCAACTTCTAATCATCTCATTGTCTCCTTAGATTCTAAATATTTCTTAATTTTGCCATGAAATCCCATTTTCATGACACTCTGAAGAGGAAGGCGACAAAATAAAATGTAGCAGAAGAAAAAGCATAAATAAATCAAAATTCAAATGAGAGGCCACACAGAACCACACCTGATTTCCATATCACTGTTTTTAGCAAAACAATTTACTCAACTACCTGGGACTTAGCAGGTACCCACATTAGGACATTTTGCATTTTTATGATAAAATTCAAACTATAAACTGACCAAAAAAAAAAAACCTCCAAAATCCCACAGAAGTGAATATTTGCATATCTGAGAAGTTAAATAGTTTCCCAGGAGAGAAATATTCTGTATCTACACAGGAGTCTCAAAATGTGTGGGAAATCCGTGGTTCTGAGTCATCCAATAGTGTCTTGAGGCTGTTTATAGCCTATATCACAAAAAACTTTCCCAATAATTAAAACATAAGATAGATGTCATTTATAAACATAACTGAAATAGATGAACGTCCTCTGGAGTAGCTATAAGATGTTTCATAAGCTCGTGGTACCTCGAGATGATCACCTATCTTTGGACATTTTATAACAGGCTGGGCTGGTTATTTGAGCTTCCTCTGTATTTGAATTCTGGGATGATGAAAGTTTGTGAAGTGCTGAGAGCATGTCCACAACCCAGTATTTGGCTCTCTTGAGTGAATTAATAAATGTCCTAACTTTCAAGTCCTGATGGCAGGCTAACAACTGCTTTGCATAAAACTTTACACACGACACCCTCTTCTTTAATAGTGCATTCCATTTCTAGGCAGGACCGCACCATAATACAATCCTCTAAAATGTGCTGTGTGCTGTCAGGATTGAAAGTAATATTGGCATCTTACATTCAAGTGTGGCCTTTCTAGAGAGACTTTTCCCAAGGTGAAAACTTCAAAAACACAGAGGAGAAAAGTCACTGGAGAAATGGACCCAGTAAGCAGGGGTATCTGGGACACTTGTCATCGTCTTATGTGTCTACAGTGCCCCAACATGGGCAGCAGGGGGCGCTCCTGCATGAGGCAAACCCCCCACAAGTGTTCCCTGGAGGGGAACACGGAGGCTTTTTCTCTTAACACTTGCCCCAGGTCCAAAGAGGTAGCCACTAACGAGTGCTGCTGTCCATAAATTGCACAAGCTTAGGACATGCGGTGAATAACATTGCAGAAGTGACCAGAGATGACACATGGGTCTGAGCCTGCTTTTTGAAAACAGGGTGGCCAATTTTTATTTTATGCATTTTGGCAGGCAGGAGGGGTTAAAGGAGCAGGTAATTGAGGGTGGGGGATGGAGGTGCGGGGAGGGAGGTGGTTTGCCATCAGCTATAAAGAGGCCATCTCCAAAAGCAACAAGTGGACCTCAGAATCCTAGGATCGTTTATTTGGCCTCTTTGCTACAGTTTAGCTTGCAGGTTATAGCCTCCGTGAAATGTCGAATCAAAACCCTCCCCTCGCCCCTCCTCCGCGACGCCACCCCAAACCCAGAAAATCACTTGATGAAGCGGGTTTCCCACTGAACCTTAGGAAATGTGACTTCTGCAGGGGTTCTCCTGCATGTGGCTGCGCTTTGCAAGTGAACGTGTAATGCATTTTATTCCCTCTATGCCAAGTCCCAAGATTTTAAACCAGGCTGGAAAAAGCCTTAGGGACCAGAAAGAGCCAGCTCTGTAACCTCAAAGACAGTGGGTTCCAAAGCAAAATCCCCTGCTCTCACTGCCACTTCACACACATACTCACGCGCACCCCACCCCCACCGACTGGATTCTTTCTCCTTCCTGTCCCCAAATGAAGGTCTGCGGAGACACAGCCATAAACCTCAATACTCACCATATTGACTTCAGAAACCATATCAATGCTGGCAATGTCAATATTCATTCCCACGGCCACCGGGGGACCTGCAAACCAAAATGGCCAGCCACGTGATTTCTCAGAACTTCAGTCTTTCTTAGCAAAAGTAGTCCCGGGCACGGGAGACACTGTCCCAAATCCCTCCCCACGGCTCACCCTCAAATTCTTCACTCTGCTTTTTTTTAAGGGTGACAGGTACTCCTCTGGGAAATGTTCTATTGAACCGACAAGCACGTGTCCGGATGGGTGAGGGATTCCAGCTTAGTCTACATATGTAGATGTCTCAGCGTGAGAATACACACAACTCACAAAAGCTCCGGGTATCAGGAGAGCCCCAGGGAATTTTATAGATGGTACTGAAACCCCCCTCCTCATTCTTCCCACCCCCACTCTGTTCAGGTTTTAACCCTCTGAGCTTTGTTAGAGTCTAAAGCAAAATTAAATGGGTATTTTATCGGTGTATCTAAGGCTGCACCAAGAGAGGTCCCTGCCCCCCCACCTCCCCCGAACCCCCGCACCCTCCCCTACCCTCCACTGCCCCCTGCACTGAGGCTTCCCAGGACTGGATAATATCCAGACACCAGCCACGTTAAATCACGGCCAGAACTCTTCCAAAGTAGGCGGGCACAGGGGGTTAATGCCACTTCTCAACCAAACAGTCTGCACATCTTGTCCTCAAAAATGTTCACGATGGCCTTCAGTAAGCCAGGTTCACTGGGCACATCATTAAGTAAACTTAGGAGGTTTGTATCTCAACAAGGCAAAGACAGTGAAGCAAAGGATTTAAGCAGTGAAGCTGAAGGACAGCAGTCACCAATACAAGCTGGGGGGGTGGGGTGGGGGGTGTCCTCTCTGAAAGACCATCTAAGTGCTGGATAGGGACAAACCGCCTTAAGTTTGGGTCCGTTTCTCAATATGGTAACACAGAGACACGTTCAGAACACCACATGCAACCCACAATGAGGGAAAGAGAAGACAGCGCACAAAGCTCAAAAGACATTTGGGCTGTAGCTTATTTCCAAGGGAACTCCATTACCTCCAAAATCTGGTCTCAGCCGAATATCATAGCCTTTCAGGAGTCTATCCACCGTCTCTTTAACCAGCGACATATTACTAGGGTCATTGACACTAAAGAGAGAAAAGACAATAAACAGGCATCAATAAGACAGCAGGCACAGCGTCTTCAGCATCTATCTCATCCTCACTACAGCTCCCTGCTCACAGAGGTATGCAGGCAGAGCCCTTCAAAGTGAGAAACGGAAAAGAAACGAAAGACACACTTACCTCTGCGCACAGACAGCGGCGATTATTAAGGGGAATGACCAAATCCCAAAGTAGCCCTTTTTCCGGACTCTCCACATCCCTTTAGTTTTGGATGGGATTGAGGGTTTCACTGAAGAGAGGAGATCCAACTTAGTCTGCCCAGTGCAGTAATTCTAATGTGAGGCGCATGCGCACGGCGTACCAAAACATCAAAGGGGCAGCAGCGGTTGCCTGGGACCGAGATTTTCTTGTTAAAGGAAAAAAAAATTAAAGGGGAAAAAAGAAAAAACATATATATCCATAATATATACGTATTTGAATAATATAGTAAAGTCACCCCACAGGAGGAAGCCAGAGTAAAATCTTTGTTGTTCTTTCTTTAAGGCAAAAGCAACGAAAGCGTCTGGTAAGTTTCGGTAGTTGCAGGAGGCAGCTTTGCACCTCGCGGGTTGTGGGGTTTGGGGGTGCGTGTGTGTGTGTCTTCTCTTAAATATGCAAAACCAGATTAGGAATGTAAGGTCTAGCAGGTGTGTAGTGCTAGGGGAAGATGGGTGCCCAGGAGCCCACTTCTGGTCTCGGCAAGCGGCAAAGAGAGGAGTCTGAACTTTATTTCCATGGCATCCCCTGCCTCGGGCGAGATGGGTGCTGGAGGTGGGGGTTGTGCGGCTGGGGGAGGGTAGGGGACAGTGGGAGCAGGAGTCGAAGGCGGGGGGAGGGAAGAAACCAATGGGAGGAGTGCTAAGCAATGCGTTGGATTTGGGGCCGGGAGTGGAGTGGGGAGGTAGCGTGGAGAATAAGAAGGACACGGAAAAATAAGGAAAAGAAAGAAAAGAATAAAATGAAGCTTGGTCTTTCATAGGAGGCAAGGAGCAAGCTTTTCTTCACTACTCACGGGCGATTTCTTTCTCCTCCTCCTCCTCACCCTATGCCCCCTATTCCCAGAGAAGAAAACCTCGGGGTCCCGGTTTCTCGCCGTGTGACGTGCCTGACCCGCGAGTCCGGATTATTTATAGCAGGAGGTGGTGGGGGCGGGCGAGGGGAGCAGAAAGGCAGTGCTGTCTCTCCAGGTTTAGGTCTGCTGCTGCACTGGGAAATTATGAGTAGGAAGGGTGGGGTTTGGATGCGGGGTGATGGGACGCAGGGGCCTGGGGG